TAGCAGCGCTATAGCGCTGCTATAGCGCTGCACAGCAAAAACGCATAAAAATGACAAATGCAAATTTTTCGAAAAAACGCAAATTTCCAGTTCATGGAAAATTGGGAGTATTGCTCGAACGGTCGTTTTTCAAAAAATCCATTTTCATTTGCATATACGATTGCGGTTCAGGTCCGAACTGCGAACGATTTTTTTGAAAAATGCAAATTTTCAGCTCATTAAAAATTGAAAGTATTGCTCGAACGATCGTTTTTCAAAAAATCCACGTTCATTTGCGGTTCATGTCCGAGTTGCTAACGATTTTTGGGTTGGGGAGCTGCGTGAGGTTGTGGCTGAGGGGCTCGACAACTGAGCTCAAAACTTTAGCTCGCACGCGCATAGAAAATATCCATGCAAAGTTTCAGCTTTCTTCGTTGCCTGGTTCGCAAAATCGTTTCTCGTCAACATATTTCCTTAGGGGTCCCGTACGCGGGGTCTAGGCGTGTATGGGGAAAGATCTTAAAGCGGGAGGATGACACACGTGGTAGGAACATATATCCAAAGTTTCAACCTCTCAGCTTTCCTGGTTGCTGAAATGAAAATGGGTGACAAAATGCACTCGCTTTCCGAACACATACACACAGGCGCACAAACACACAGATAGCCTTTCGAAAATACGTATTTTCGTTGGTTGTAGCAGCGCTATAGCGCTGCACAGCAAAAACGCATATTGTGACGATCCATGGTGTGCGTGTGTATGTCCGTCTGTCTGTCTGTCTGTCTGTCCATCTGTCCGGGTATTTCAACTCATCACCCAACTAGCTCCGGCGCCAAAATTTTGCCTGTGGGTTCCCCAGCCAAGTGCCACCCTAGTACCGCGGTACTAACTCTCATGCAAGTCTGGGCCTCGTGTATGAGCGGGTAAGAGTTTTGGCGGGTAAATCGCTAACTCAGAAACCAGAAGAGCTGGAAAGCTGGAATTTTGGGATTATGTCCCCCGTTCATCTGGAACCCAACGGTTTCAAATTCACTCCCCAGGTGTGTGTGCTTCCCGTGTGCGGCTCCGAGGGTTCCTGGTGTGAAAATCGTCAATTTGGGAACCCAAGGAAGCTGATAGGCTAAAATTTTAAGGGGATATCCCCAGCCTTTGTACAACTTAAAGTTAGCAAATTCAGCCTCCAAGGCATGCGTGGTTCTCACGTATGAACCTCCTGACTGTTTTTGGCGGGAAAATTTCTAACTCGAGTCCCAGGGAAACTGGGAGGCTGAAATTTGCAGGGAATGTTCCCAGCACAATTGCGTCTTAAACTTATCAGGTTCAGCCTCTCGGTGTGCGTGGTTCTTATGTACGGCCTCGTGAAATTTTTTGGCAGGAAAATGGCTAACTCGGGAACCAAGGAAGCTGGGAGGCTGAAATTTTCGGGGAATTTTACCTGTCCAACTATCGCATTGATAGTTAACTTCTTGAACTTCATGAAACTGTATGTCACACATTTTTAGCTACTGGATTTCTGAACCATCTCATTACAGCACGAAATACTGAAGAAACGAATGGTCGCACAGGCCTGCTTGCTGAGCGTCGCCAGTGATTTACATTGCTTTTTGCACGCAATGCAGTCCAAGCTGCAATGCACTAGGCGTGCCGGTGTGACCATGCGTTTTTGCGTTAAGCTTGCAGATCGCTAACATTAATACGCAGGCCACTTGTTTGTGCGAAATGGTGCCGGCGGATTCAGTACGAAAAATTGAACAGTTTCAATTTAGCAGGAGAAAGATACCTTATTTCTGCACAAGGCCCTTTGCAATGGTCCATAAAGCTTTTGTTTGCACTGCTGGCAGTGCGTGGTTCGGTAGACTAGCGCTAAGACGAATAGACCAGAACACAAGCCAAGCAGGCGATAAGAATTGAAATAAAAAAGAAATTTTCTGCGATCCCTTAACAGTCTCATATGGCTTGTAGAATAACGCAATGTATTGCCTCCAGAAATAGCGTAAATGAATAGCGCAAGCGATCTGGTAGATGACACAGTAATCCTGGTGCCAACTAGTATTAGACACTAAATAGGAGCACTTGGAATTCAGGCACCGCCTCGAAAACTGAACTGTTGAACAGCTGCTATCGAGAAAATACTGCAAAAAGAAAAAATTCTCTACCAGAGCAATGTGTTCGTATCCAAATTACATGCCGGTTTGTGCCTCACAAGCTGTTTCCAAAGAGAAAGCCCATGAATATAAAAATGCCTTTTACTTTAATTAAGCTGGTTGAAAACTAATACAGCTCTAGTTGGCTGACAGGCGCAGCACGAAGTAAAACTGCTTCTGCACAATACGCCGACAAGACAATTGATCCTTCTATGATCCGTGGAATTGCTGCATGCAGTCAGTCTGCGTGTAAGCAAACTCGAAAGAGGGAGCCGCTGACAGCCTTGTTGATGGCCAGTGCTACTGGTACTTGCTACCACCTGAACTACTTCTGAATTCGCTTCACTTCTCATGGGAATTGAATAAAAGAAGAGAGGAAGGGGGAAGGTGAGGTTTTATTTTTATACAACATAATAGACTTTGTATACCTTCTCATCATTAGCATAGTATTGGGTGCATAAAAATGAATAAATTTTGAAAAAATTGATGATCAGACTCTACGACGATGAATCTTAGGGATATACGGAAGAAGGCACGGTGATGGAAAAACACATATCTCATAATCTTCGTGTTTCTTCTTAACAAAGGCACATGAAACATAAAGTAAAACCATGTGCTGAGGACTGTGGGTGGAATTTAAGCTGTAGTAGAAATAGGTTAACTCCTATCGAGAAGGCGATCAGTATTGTTTAAATCTAAATATCTTGATTTAATGTCATGATACGGTTTTATGTCACATCTTATGTAAACACCATTTCATCTCTCATAATTATGTATTGAGGAATACGGCACAAAGTCGTGAATGTGTAATAATATTTGTGATGAGAAAGGCAGTGGTTGTGGAAGGGAGGCGTTTATGGAGTCGTAGTTCTGACGCGTGAAAGATCTTTTACTTTCTTGTGGATGCCAATATCAATTACTGTTAGAAGCAGAGTCGATACTAGCACTACGCTGGCATCATTATTGAACGAAAAAGTGTATGAAGAGCATTTTTATACATCAAGTTTCCAAGCGCCCAAAACTTTTCATCATAGATGAGCCTTACCAGTAAACAATCTTGTTAAAGGTCCAAAAATTGGCATGTACTTGTCAGTTAGGAACATTCCAGTAACACCACTAACATGAGGACAGCTTTTATAAACGCAATTCACTCATTTATTTGAATGTATTGTCCCAGTATGAGAACGAGATTGTATGTTTGCTTTCTATAGGGGAGCCATATTCCGTTATTTTCTAACAAATGAAATACACAAGCAAAAATCTGGATACTACCGCCACCGATGCAGCTCACAAAACTAAAGAGACTGGTAGTGTTTTGTTGTGCTCAAAGTAGCAAATCTGTGACATCAGAAGTCTGCAGACCAAGTAATATCGATAAGAACTGCAGACCAGGTAATGTCGATAATCAGTTTGCTCATGGAAAATGCAAAATCCATGTGCGTCGGTCATTGGCTACAATAAGAGGAACACCAACTTCGGCTGCATAGTCGTCCACTGCTTCGATAAGATCTGCAGGGCAAGTAATTTATTACAGTAAAAAGAGGAGTTGTTACCCCACTAATTCACTGATAAATTTTATTTTGAACTGATAGTCTGCGTATAAATTGGCTTATTCTGGTCATTTTGCAGTTAGCCAGTTTTATCTCGCCCTGTCGAAACTGATGCGTAACGTGGGTAGTTCAGGAGACGAAAACCAGAACGTTAGTTATTCTGATTGTTCCGTTTGCGACTATGGACAGTTATCCTCAAGGATTTCATGTCGATGACCGGGCAGGTGCATTCAGAGTGAAAGTAACGATTCTCTGTTAATATTTTTTGACAAACTTTTCCACTTTTTCTGCTTCTGATATTATGAAACACTGCTGTAATCAAATTTTCAATGAATGGCCACTCGCTAGAAACTATTCATTCCTTTTCACGTAAAACTGATAATCATGAACGCTGAAAGCTCACGCGGCCTCATAAAGCAAGTACCACTAAGTTAGCCAACTCCCTTTTACTTCTGCATGCAAGGAAAGGCCAAACACAGCTAACATATGTCCACGTGCGGAACTGTAAAGCAGAAACCATTCATGCTGTTAACTATCAGGCTGCTCCAGGTTTGACGCGAAGAGCCTGACGCGTCTCTGTCTGGACTGCTGTCGTCCGTCTGGCCTTGCTTAACTTACAGTTACTCTTAAGCGAAAATAAACCCATTATTTTTGCAAGCATGAATTTTCTTGGCCTACAGCCGCTTTTCTTCTGCTCTTAACTATTCCAAGAAATACAAATTCCGGCTAGTCCATTTGAAGCTGCAAACGAACCTGAACGATTACTAATTTCTGGAAGTTTTCAGGGAATTTTCAAAAGCCAAACCTGGGCGATTGTAATCGCCACCAAACATAACTCCGCCGTCACTCAGAATGTTTTGAAACAACCCCACATCATGGTACGTTGAATCGTAATCGTGACCCGCGCCTGCAAAAGCAGTAAATGAAATCCTTGCTTTTAAGGAAGGAAAAGCTGATGCATGGAAAATCATGTTTGCTTGCTATTGCTTCACTTGTTTGAAGCTTGTCAACAGCGATGTGATCTTTAAATTATAGCATACTTCCTTTCTGAAAAATTTTTACGCTGCTTCTGATTTGTTTTTTGGTTCTGTATCAAATTTTCTGCTTTTTTCGTTCTGTTCTTCCCTTTTTACAAACATGAACTCGTTTAGACAGAGCCTCGACTGAACAAAAGAAGCATTTATCAAGAGACAACTCAAAAAAGAGAAGCCATCGAAAACTAGAGTAGCTACTATTGATAAAAAACTGTTCTCTGATCACAGCTGAATGACTGCATGTATCCAGGCGAATTTAGTATTAAGAAATATCTGGACAAAAAATTACCAATATAAATGAAGTCGGCTCTGACTCCGAAACAGAACAAAACGCGCGCTCCTTGTGCCGAAGGGATACGAAGTGGCGCAATTACGTCAGTTAATTTTTGATATTTGATATTATTCATGAAAATTTCATAGAACCTAAAATTAATTTATGGTTAGGAAACTAAGTCATATTCCAATAATTTTTTTTAATAAAGTAAATAATTTAGGATAACTAAGGGGCTAAAAGCCCGACAGCTCCATTCATATGTAGGTGCAGAAGGCGTAAAAGCAACTTCTATCTTCTCAGACATTCAGGAAGACGTGAAAAATCTGGCCTCATGACAGTGCGACACTGCTCTGAATTAACATTACGTTAACAGTGTAAAATTAATGTTATTCTTCCGCAACTTTAATACTAATAGCAATAATAATCAATGGCAATGAGCACCAGGTGGGTCCGCGTGATCATGCGTTCTTGCAGCAGTTCGTGCTGCAGTAAAATCGCTTGGAGTCCTAGTAGTTAGAATTTGTGGTACACTGGTCCTCGAGTTCAGGAAGTTAATTGTATAACTGCTTGGCACTTGGTCAGAGGAAATACCATTAAAATATCAGTTTTCTACCTTTTGTGGTTCCAATTCAACAATTTTCAAGCCAAAAATTTTCACGATGTCACCCGTGGGAACCATCCACACCCGCTGACTGAATTTGAAATTTTTGAGTTCTATGTGGATGGGAAACATAACCCCAAAATTTCAACCTCCCAGCTTCCCCAATTCCCGAGCTAGCAATTTTTCCGTCAAAAAATTTCACGAGGCCGTACGTGGGAAAAAAATATCATGGGGGCGTACATTTTTGCATTTGCATATATGCATAAACACATAACGCAGCAAATATTTATAATAGTGGTTCGTGATAATAACAATAATTATCACTGCTTGCATATTATTATTCGTCGAATCGGTGGAAAATCTACCCATGGGGCAAAACCAATGTTTCGTAGCATTTATCGGCTGAGCGCCCCCATATCCTTTTATAAAAACCGAAAATAAGCCAGGTTTTATCAAGCAAACTCCGTAAGGGCACTAATCACTACAGAACAACACGCTGGCAGGGCAAAGCGAAGAATATGTCCTGTCCGGCAACCTTACTTCGGTAGTTAGGGTTTTGTATGCCAGTCATTTGCCGTATTCATTATTACCAGAAACATCGGCCGAGACGAAAAAGTTTTTTTTTAAAACTTACCCAAGATCAACATTGTTGTGGTCCGCAAGTGTATGCCAGTATTCCTCTTCCTCGTTGACGTCAATGGATTTCGTCCACGTATCAACGGAAATCAGCGAACATTTGCTATCAACGGCGACTTCGCGACAGGCTTTAATCAATGATATTGCAGTTTTACCGGTGTTTGAACCGACTTCTACAATCCTGAATTTCAAATAACAGCCTTTCTGAAAATGCCTACTCTGAAAAATTTTGCCGTAGTCAAGTTCGGGATATTTTTACCGGGAAACTATTCCTCATCGAACTGAAACTGACTCCGAGGACAAAATACAAGTGCAAGCGAAGGAAAAAATACGGGCATTTTCTGCTAAAGCAATTCGAGAATTGTTTTTGACAAACTTTTACACAACCATTTTTGCAAACAGTGGAAAAAAGGCAATCATGCACCCTTTCATGGGAGAATGCACCTTTTTGTGAATGTATTCCAGTGCGTTGGTGGCAACTTTCAAATGCCCAGATGATAAGTAGTAAATGATGAGAAAGTATTTTCCAATGTGCTGCACCAAACGCAGTAGATGCCTGCACAGGGATTGTTTGTGCAGTCACGAATTTTACACGGTTTCATGCAAAAATGAGATCGTGGACAGTGAAAACGTTCATCACTTCACAATTTGAAATCTGTACATCTGTTGGAAATGTTCTCAGTGGTCTTTTTTTTTCATTTCAGGAGGCAGAAACATTAGCTGAGCCGGTGACGCTGCATTGCAGGACTCCGTAGAACTTCAACTTTCCAGGCTTTTTGATTACTGAGTTGGGTGACACACGGATAAATACAGGCAGTGCACAAAAAATCGTACAGATTGATGCATACGCCGAAAACCTTGCAGCTTGCAAACTGCAGGAACGCATAAAACTACAAAGAAACCCAGGCTTCAACGCTCCAGTCTTGCAGGCCACTAACACAAGAAGTGGTTCCTGCGCTGTACTTTAACGCTTAGGCTCATAATGGCTGTGTTTTGGCCTCTTTTAGCATGCTGGGGGAAAAGACGTCAGCTGGGATGATGTTGCAGTATAGGACCGCATGGACCTACAGCGTGCATGATCATCAGTTTTTTTTGCACGAAGCCCGGTTGTTTTTCCGGTTAACGCTCGTTCACTGAACGTAGGCTGGAACGCACCAGGCGAGCCGGAGCGATTATGCGTTTTTGCACAAAACTTGAA